AACATATACAGTGTTGTTAAGCTGCATTTGACGGTCTCTTTGTCTGTCCTCTTTGATAGGAGTGGAGATCACTGCAGGTAACATGTGCTGCATGTAGTGTATCATATTTTAAGTACCTGGAGCCCAGGTAGAGACATTGTTGAGGGTTAGTAATAGTGATCCAAAAACATACACACACAAAAAAAGAACAACATCAGCTCCATATGGTTCCATATTTTATCCATGAAACAAAAGACGTGTTGCCTTAAATTAGAAGTGGGCGGTATGGATAATATCTTCTATCACGTGATATTATAAATCAACGACAAACAGATATAAGGTAAAATAACAAGTCAGGAATGTCTGTTTCTGATCCAGATACCTGATGAATTAAGATATTTAATCACACTGATGCAAATATCATATAAACATTCATAGAAAAATCATATATAAAGTGTTACTGCTCATTGCAGCATCTCCAACCATGTTCAAATCCAACCAGAGAACAACATTAGGAAAAAGGACACCACAGTATAAGCTGTATGGACAAAGCTCAGTTGCAAAAATTCATATTGCCTCATGCCAGAGCTTCTCAGGTTACATAACACAGGACTTTCCCCCAGGAGACAAGTGTCTGGAACCATGAGAACTTTGAGTTATTTTAAGATACATTGTCACCATGTTTCTTTTCCTTAACCTAACCTTCATATCTTTATGTTATGTATCAAAATTTAAGTTACCTACATAAGTTTACGTTCACAATGTGGGTGCTAATTTGTAAGATATCACAGACCGTTTTATGATGATATATTGACTCCTGGCACTTTGTTTGTCTTTTCTTTTCTTTTCTTTTTTGATAAACAATGCTTTTTATACACTCCTGAACAGTGGTGTAAGTTAGTTACGATGGGCCCCAGTGCATGCTATCATGCACATATTGTCTCGTCACATGATCAGAGACTTGATATTAGATAACATCAACACACATATTTCCCCAACACATTCTCATTCTGACCTCGTCACATATTGATGTTTGGTCATGGACTCTCCACATCCAGATACAATGTCAAAGGCACCCTGGGTGCGCTGGTTGTTGACGTTCTGGGACGCCGTGTCAAGATCTGCCTGTTACATGCATTGTCTTCTTTCAAAATACACTTCGGTTTTAACAGGAAATTTAACGTTTACATGCAGTCTCTTTCAAAATAAACTCACTTCGGTACAACACAGCGAATTGTATTTTTTTTCCTTCAACAAATTGCGCACGTGATTGGGTTTAGGAAAAAAAACAGGGTTTGGCTTTATAATCTTACAACACACAAACACCGCTCTCCCAGATGAAAGTTAGTATTTGTTGGACCCAACCACCACCCCTTGTGCCCACCCTACTCGGACTTTCGCTGCCTTAACTTTCGTTCTTGTGCATCCGCGCATTAAACTATAACAGCAACCAGCTGCGTATCATGCCAACATTAAAGGATGGCTTTTTCCATCAGTGACTGACGCTGCAAGTCACTGCCCAAGCTCCGGATTTCGACGACTTCAGAGTGAGACTGGGTTGATTAACCAGCAATCATCATTACATTTCTTCAATATAACAAAAAATACCAAAGAAATTAAGAAATCATTAATTTAATTCAACATTTTTAATAGTTGATTTATAGTTATGGAATTAGCGTATAATTTTGTTAGAGATGTTACTGACTGTTTTCCAAAGAAAAGAAAAAACATGATGGAGATGGGTTTACATACATAGCAAATGGCACTGTTTTTAATTTAATGAGAGCTCCTCTGTGAACACAGGAACGTTTTCAAGGTGGCAGTCACTCATGAGGGCCCATCCTCCACTCAGCACATTGTTGGAGGGCCCTCTCTCTCTATGGGGCCCCCGACCTCACGGTATCTGGTGCAACCACACTGCCTGCACTGTCTATATTTACACCCCTGCTCCCGAAAAGGAAAAGGCACATTAAATAATCCAAACTACAAAAAAAGTCCCAGTATTAATCAGTTTATTTTCATTGTAAATTAAAATGGTCGGCGTGCCACCCAGCACCCTGCGGCCACCCGCTGAGTTTCACTGTCTCACATAATACAAACCTACTTTCTTTCACAGCGGACATTTTGACTCTTCGTAGAAGAGATGTTGCTTAAAACATTAACGATGGATCCGCTTTGTTTAAGTGTCCCAGTAAACCATGACAGTGTGACAGTGAGCCAGCATGAACAGTACCAGGACCCTGAAACTGAAGCAGCTAAATGGAATTCAGCCATATATTCTCTAATTGTGACATGTCAGGATGTCCTCTGTGAAGGACTAATGATTATGTCCCAAGCAACAATGACTCACATACAGAAAAACAAACACACTTAAATACAGATCTGTGAACCACATGTCTGACATAACATAGCAGCATTTTCAAGGTCATTGACTTCTAGTTGTCCTAATTCATATTAGACTCATAACTAAGATTCAGATAGTGTGAGCCACAGTATATTAATGAGTCCAGATTTTCTTGGAGCAGCTGCTTGGATTTGATTTGTATATTTCAGATCTACTGTGCTGAGAGGAAGATGTGCTGGCGCAGCGGTTTGGGGTGATGCCCTTTAATGCGCTCTATCTTATCAGCCCAGCATCACCCCTATTCAAACTGCCTTCTGATTGAGCAGCACGATGTTGTTTGGGTCTTACATTGGGAATAGTTTATAGAGGCACCGTCTCTAATTTGTGAAGTGAGGTATTATAGAGGAGACAATTAGACCGAGGTTCGATTGGCGTGTAGAGGCTTGGATGCTGACAGTCAAGAGAAGGCTTTCAAATGTCATACCAATTAATCTATCCAGCCATCAAACAATATTCTGGAAACAAAGTCAGGGGGGGCGATCAATCCGCATCACTTTTCTCCTCACCGGGTTATGGGAAAATTGATTTGTCAAACAAAGCATTTTGGAAGCAGTGCATGGACTTGTTCGGGATCCATTAGCCTCCATTGAGCATTTTGTTTAACATAGGATTTTCATCACAGAGAAAATGCAGTGTCCTCAATACTGTGAGCTACAACTTTACGATTTCTGATTTCTTTGTTCTTGCTTAGAAAGCTTCAGAAAGTGCTGATCAAGATTGAAAAGGGCTAACTTCTAATGCATTCAAGAAACACTTCAAATGCTATTGTTATTAATACACTACACAAATGAGCAGTGTAACAATCAGTCCCCTCCCGTGCAGGCATTAGTCCCCAGTATCAGTATTATTGTACACTGTGGGGCTATCCTGCCATCCTATACAACGTGGCTGCCCTAAGCTGTATCATGAATTCCCTGTGCAGTGTATTGTTCTAAGACAGAACTGTATCACATTGTGCCCGTCATGCTGTTTTAGAGGGGAGAGAGCTTCCTCTATGGGATTTCTCCCAGCCCCATCCCCTGATAATGTATCTCTCCCTAAAGGCGAGGCCTCCGTGACCTTGTCTTATTCATCGAGGGCGTCTTAAGCGAAAGAACTGAATTCTGAATGGGCCATTTCCCCTCTTTTAACACCCCTTTAATGTCATCAGTGAAATATGAAGTCATTAGGCGATATTAAAACACTGCTGACAAACTAATTAACGGGAGACATTAAACAGGACGGGCTTGATTAATCCGCTTTAACGATTCTTTTTAAGTGGTTCTGGTCAAAATTAATACAGATTTACTGGTGATCTTAAGAAAAAAATACTCTTATGTGTATCAGACCTCAAGGGCAACCTAAAGTCACTGGTCTTTTACCTCCTACTGCTCTCCCTCCCACCCATACCCTCTGTGTAGCTAAACACAGTCTGAACTCACACAGTTGGTCTCTGATAACAAACTACTGCAGATCGTATGGACATAAATGCTGTAGGCCCAAAGATTTTCCAGATTATTTTAATTTATCATTTAATATGGAATATATTGTAATCAGAGTAGTTACAGGTATGATGGTACAGATAAATCATAGTGTTACTTCAGTCAGCAGCCTGACAAATTTCCATGTGATATTTTCAGAGCTTAGAATTTGTTGGGATAAATAACTTTAATTGTTGTTGTCATTGTTATTACTATTATTATTTATTTTGTTGTTGTGTCATATGAGGTGTAGACTGTTACAGATTTTTTTGCCCTCACAGGTTCATTGTTCAGTAGGAATGTCTTTGTGAATGTCTCCCTCTTGTGGTTAAAGCACCGATCCACAGTCAGCTGCTTGGATTCATATATTAGCTGTAGGCAGCTATGAAAAGAATGATCAGAAGGTAACCAACCGTTTGCTGTTACTTGGTACATGTCTACAAACTGTGTGATTGTCCTGCCATAATGAGGTGAAAAGAAGAAATGCATGGTGAACTTGCTTGATGAACCAATATTGTGTATTTACAGTATATAGTATATTTTGAAAGACAAGCCACGGGCCTCGATTGGCCCCTGGGCTGGACTTTGGACGTGCCTGGTTAAGTGCAAATAAATGTTATTATCTTAATACATTCATACAGTAAACTTCTGATCAAAGACCTTAATTTTCTTATGCTTTATTGGACAATAAATCTACATAAGACTGTATAAACAGGCATGATCGATGTTTTGCAAAAAACATCAATGCAAAGTCATACTACTGCTACTACTAGACTGATAATAGTAATAATGTGTATATATATATATATATATATATATATATATATAACAGCAATGTATAATGGGAAGCATAGCCTAATCAGATACTATAGAAGAAAAACAAAACACAAACAATTAATTTATTTATTTTTAAAAGGTAATTTTGAATATACTTTTTTTTTCTTTTTTTTTTTTTAGAAAGTTAATAAAATACGTAAATACTTGGGGAAAAATAAAGCATGGGTATTCTTATAGAAAAACGACATTGGTAAAAAGAACATTTTCACCATAACGGTTATTTTTATATTTCAGTATAAAATCATAACATTAAAAAAAAAAGAACTTCTACCGGAAGTGGTCACCGGATAACTTGTGACGTATTTCCGTCATCATTGAGTGACTGCGTCGCATTGTAGCATCAGTAACTCAATGATATAACCGTTTCTAAACGTTTTTGTAACTTATTTTCACAACGATAGAGGTATTCATTTATTTCTCTAACGGACAACAGTGTCTCACTACAGAGTTGGTGTTCAGTCTCTTTGTTTAATGCGCTCTGTCCTGGTCGGGAAATGAAAATGTAACGTTGAGTAGGTTAATGCTAGCTGTTAGCTTTTAGCCTCTCAGGCCCGGCTGAATGTGAACACAAAGGCCGCGCGCACCGCCTCGCCGTTTCAGAGTCACGATAAGGATCAGGTTACTGATTCTGCTTTTTAACAATGTTTCCCTCCTGGGGAGGCTATGGGGCACCCCCGTCACAAAACTTTGGAGGGCCTGGGCCCCGGAAGCAACCTGGCGGCGGCCACGCAGGACCGACAACGGGTTTCGGCGGCTTCGATGCCCCCTCCTCCGGCGGCTCCATGTTCTCCAGCCTCCAAGAGCAACACCTCCAGCAGATGCAGCAGCTGCAGATGCTGCACCAGAAACAGCTCCAGTCTGTGTTACAGCACGGCAGCAATGATAATGCGTACGGTGGTGGACACCCGGGCGGATATTCAGGACCATCTTGGCATCCAGATGGCGGTGCTGGACCTCCGCCGTACTATATGCAGGACGAGACACCTGCTCAGCTGAACAGAGGTCCCCCTGCACCTCCGGCGGGACACCCACAGCCTCCTCCCCTCCCACCGCAACCGCAGCCCAGCGATCCTCAGCCGCTTCCTCCCCCTCCAGAACCCCCGACATCCAAACCACCGGAGAACAACAGTGCTCCCAAAGCCAAAGAGGTCATCAAGAAAGATCCACCCACAGTAGAGGAAGACAACTCCTTACCTTTGCAGGTAATGCCTTGTATCTTCATGTGTTGCCATGTTTTGGCAACGATCACTTTGCTCAACGGGAAATCAGAACTTCCACCAGCCACAGTGGCAGGTAGACAAAAAAGATAACTTCCAACCCTGGTGCACACAAATGTACAAGCATCATACCGTGCATTTCAAACGTGGAAGAGAATCAAAATATATTTAAAGTCGTGTAACTGATAAACAGACTTGAATTATCCATATCGGGATGTATTTAATCACATGCAAACTGAACCAGTATATCTAGCATAATGTTTTGGATTCAGAACCACCATAACTCATACACTGAGACTCAGTCACATGATCCACTTGCAATGCGAATTTGGGGTGTCTTGCTCATATCAGCAGGGAGTGGATCAGGGTATGAGGAGGGTGTGCTCTGGGTAGGCCAGCTGTTACATTTATTTAATATATAAATATTGATTGGACTTTAAAAAAAAAAGTTTTGTTCCTTCTGCATAGAGAATACCGGCAGATGATTTCAGAATCAAAGAGCAGATAATAAGGAGTAAAGCACGTGGATTGGATGAAAAAATTGGATATTTTTAACTCTACAACACAGATTTTGAGAGCTGTGCCATGATGGACAGTTAGTCAACAAACTAGACTATCCAGTCTGAAATCTGAGATGTTGTACTTGTACTATTGTATATGCAGAGCCTGAGGTTGTATTACTGAAAACAATGGAGAGATGGAGTCTTTATTATGACTGTGTAATACGATTAAGCTCATTTTTTTCTGTTGAATTAAAACAATATTACTTAAAGAACACACAGATGGGACAAATTAAAGGAAAAACCTGAATAAAAGAGTGATGAAAAATATTGAATGCTGATGCTTTAGTGCAGCAGTGCTCACTGAATGGTTTGGAGAGAATGAAATTGACGGGATTTAAATGCTGCAGCCTTTACAGTCAGCAGATTTCAGTCCAGCTGAACACCTGTGGACGAATTTAGACCAACCTGTAAGGCGAAGCTCTCCATCACCATCTCTATAATAGAATCTGATGCTGTATGTGCTTTTGTAATGTCCAGTTATGGTAGTTTTTCTTTCTATCTGCCGTATTCAGGTCTCTCCTACAAAAGAGATCTTGATCTTAATGAGATTACCTGATTAAATAAAACTGTAATAGAGTTCCACAGACTTGGCAAGGAGCATTGCACCTGTCCTGGAGGCCTCTGGTTGCTCAACTGCATACAACAGAAGAAAATATTAATTTAACTCGGCAGTATAACCTGGTCTGGTTTATATTTAATGTGATCAATATGAAATTAGAGTAGAGCTTTATGATGTGCAATGCCAAGCATGTCAACACATATTAACACTGTAAATTTTATAGTTAAATCAATATTTGTACATTAAATAAATGTTGCCCGAATTGGTTAACTATATTTTTTATTTACATTTTCAGAAAAGTGAAATATGAGCAGGTGAAAGACTTAATTTCTGATGTTTTAAAGTATGCTCCAAAGATTTAGGGTTTAATTTAAAATAAATGTAAAGCTGCCATTTTTGTTTGTTTGTGTGATTTTTAGGCCATTGACATAAAATTTGAAATTGTAACCCTATTATGTCACATTGAGCAAGGAATGTGCAGGTAAAACAAGGAAAGCAAGATTCCTCAAACAGATGTCCCTGTTTTTGTTTCACACAGGAGCAACAGCAACTTTGGTACAAACAACATCTTCAAAATCTACAGAAGTTAAAACAAGAGAAGGCCAAACAGAATCAGAAAGACAATGATGGTCCTGTGCCACCACCCCTTCAAAGCCAAGCTGTGCCTCCTCTCCCTCCATCAGAACCGCCAAAAGGTGCACCTCCTCCACCCCCTCCGAAAGAGGAGCCCCCAGCACCACCTCCACCTCCTGAGGATACAAAGGTAAGCATTACTGTAATGTTACGGAGGTGTGAATGTAAGAATTCAAACTTGGCGTGTACTACTGCTGAATAATGCTAAAAAAGTTGTATATGGCCTTGTGTGGCTCCAGCAGGAGTCCCTCACTTGAGTCATCATAGGTTGGAGCTAAAGACTATAAGGTTGAAGACAAAAATCTGGGATGTGGAGTTAGAAAGAAGTGAGCTTACTAGACTTGTGTCACCCTTACTCCTCATCTCTGTTTGAGGCTAATTTTGCCCTACTACCAATGTCAACAACAACTGGTTGACACTGTCATGTGACATGTGAGGCTTCTTAGTTGTGGGCTAGGGGTGCATTGTATCTGTTAAACTGTTGTGACAAATATTATGAACTCACAACACTTAACACTAAAGCAACACCATAATATGCATTGATTAATATTCATAGTGACAACATTATCTTAAAACATTTTACGTTATCTAAAAGAGCCACTGCTTTTTTAATGACACTGTCTTTGTATGTATCGCAGTCTGCCATCCCTGGTGTTGCTATGTGTCTTACTCCCACGCTGCACTTTCAGACCTTTTCTTGAGTCCATCCATCGAGAGAGAGAGTATGGAATGAGGTTTTGACGCAATACAAAAACACTCCTCAATAGCGACGCCCTGTGTTATTTTATATATGAAGTACACTGCAGACTGACATCTCTCCTCAAGGCCTTTTTCGGTCGTGACAGTAAGAGAGTGACTGGTGACTCATAAACGGGTCCAACGTGGGTTGAATGTGTATGTGTCCTGGTCCACTTTATTTACTTCTGGTGTATGAGATTTCTGTCCTCACTGCACTGCAATTTTCTGAGTTATGATAATCGTGTACTGGGTCACATCTCTTGCTGCGTCCCAGTGCCGTCTCACTCCATCCTCCTGTCCTTGCAGTTCTTGTATGCGTACAAGTGAATTTACATACAGTAACTATTACTAACAGCAGAGCATTGTCAGGTGAAACGCTGGGTGTTTTTGCAGCTTCATCGTATTGGATTGTGATGTTTATTACCATTTCAGTAATATCTGCTGCCACACATTCAACACACAGCTCTGCTCGCCCACCAAAAGTAGCTCAAGTCTGTCTTCCTCTTTTACCACCTGCAGCACGACAGTATTGATAGGCTGTTACTCGTGATGGGTAACCAATCTGATAGAACTGTGGCAGCAGAGTAAGAGAACTGAGTGGTGAAAACAGGCAGAGAGAGGTGGTGAAATCTGAGCCAAAGTCCGCATTTTACAATTAATTTATTTTATCGGCTATCAGATAAAAGAACTAATGATTCTAATCATCTTAAAAATGCAGAATATTTGCCTGGCCGATAATCTGTTGATCCCTATGCCAGATTTGTACTTGAGCTTTGAACCATTCAGGTAAAAAATACTTCCATTTAAAACCCAGCATTTCGTTTTTTTGTGCAGTTCAGTACAGTAATTTGATCCATGTTTATGAGTTTGTTGCTTTTTGTTCAGTGCAGTAATGGCTGTGCTGTATTCAGCAGCCTTTTAAGAACACATCAAATCCAGTTTTATACTTGGTATACAAGAGATATAACATTATTACTGGATCTAAATATGTTTGTTGTTTGCATGGATTTACAGAGTGACAATGTAGGAAATTCACCTACGTATACGGACACCGTAAGTCCCACCAACCACTCACCCATCATCATATTCATAGATATTTAACCACATGTAATAACATGTGGTTATGTGAATGCTGCCATTTCATGAATGTGTGAAATTCATAGGACTTGAGCACATTTATTCATCGTTCTATAGTGTTAATGACTCCCACCCCATTGATGGTTATTGTCACACCTGCCTGGTAAAAGTAATGCCCTTGTATACATATTTTTACCCACCTCTTGTTTGTCTGTAGGACTGGGAATAATTTGAAATGTCTTCAGTATCATTGCAAAAAAAAAAAATAACACCTTGCTTTGCTGATTGTAATGTTTATCAAGATTTTTTTGTATAAAGTAAGTCAAATAATAGATGCACCAATTCAATTTCTTTTTGGTTCCAATCCACCTCAGATATCTGAATTTGGACATAAATGTTGCCATTTACATTAAATGACTGTGTAAAATGTTCTCAGTCGTGCCTTGCTACCATCTATGAAATGTCATCCCCTAAACTACCCTCAGTTATGTCACAAATATTCCCTGTGTGTAACAGAGATATGCTTTGCTTCAATCTTGTCTTATTTCTGTTTAAAGCCCGAGGTCCCACAAGACCCAGAGGAGGCTGCCCGCCTGCAGCAGTTGCAGGCTGCAGCAGCACAGTGGCAGAAGGTACAGCAGCAGAGAGCAGGCTTACAGTACCAGGCTCTTATGCAACAACACGAAAAGCTTCAGCAGATCCTGGAAAAGTACCAACAGCTGATTCAGCAACCTACAAACTTACAGGTGAGTGAATTGTAGTTTCTTTGACAGCTACTATCCAGCTAGTTACTTTTCCTGGTCTGAAAATGACCGGTAGCCTTTAGAAAATGACAGGTGAAAAGCAGGCAAAGTGTGTTTAGTTGAACCAAGAGACAAAACAACTCTGATCACTGAGGCTGGTAGCATCCTGGAGACCCAGGATGTCGTGTCTCAGCCATTTTATGTTCTGCATGTACATATATGATAACACTTAAACCAAATGTCCTTTGTTGCAGTCAATGTCTCCTGAAATGCAGCTGAGGCACTATGAAATGCAACAGCAGCAGTTCACCCCTTTATTCGGGGACTGGGATCGCTCCTTCGCCCTGTGGTACGAGCAGTTCCAGACCTATCCCCACAAAGACCAACTGCAGGACTATGAGCGCCAGTGGAAGCAGTGGCAGGAGCAGATGAACGCGACCAATGCCCACCTTCAAGAGAGGGTGGCCACCCTCACTGCCATGGTGCCATTCTCCTCAAGCCAGTATAGTAGCGGGATGATGGGACAGTTTGGCCAGTACCCTGGACAAGACATGCATATGCAGCAGCAGTCAGCAAGCCTGGGTGTACAGCATTCCCCAGTTGGTGTTGGTCCCAACGCTCAAGGTCCACGGTCTGCTGGCTTTGGGCCACATTCAGAACCACCTGCTGGTCCTCCTGTGAGAGGAGTGGGCCCTGCAGCCATGGGAGTCAGACCTCCAGTGCCCCCCACCATTCAGCCACCAAGCGTCAACAGCATCAGAGGTCCACGGTCAGTTGGGATTGTTTTGTATTACTGTGTTGTATCTCATGTTGACAGTGAATATGTATTGTTTTATATTGTTAGGTTATCACTAAAGAAGCTTTATTAATAATAATGTTGTCGTACAATTTCTGTAGTCCTGCTGGTCCCACCGGAAACAATGCTGGTTTTGATGGTCCTCCAAGATTTGACCAGCCACAGCAGCGCTTTGATGCTCCCCCAAGGTTTGACCAGCCACAGCAGCGCTTTGATGCTCCCCCAAGGTTTGACCAACCACAGAGCCGCTTTGAAGGTCCCCCAAGGTTTGATCAACCACAGCAGCGCTTTGATGGGCCCCCAAGGTTTGATCAACAACAGCAGCGCTTTGATGGGCCCCCGAAGTTCAACCAACCACAGCAGCGCTTTGATGGCCCCCCTCGATTTGACCAACCAAGGCACCGCTTTGATGGTCCCCCCAGGTTTGACCAACCACGGCAGCGCTTTGATGGTCCCCCCAGATTTGACCAACCTCGATTTGGGGGGCAGCCCAGGTTTGAACAGCCCCAAAGGCTCCCTGTCCCCCAGCCCCTAACTGAACGCCCACCTGTGCCCCAGCAAAAACAACAGCAAGGTCCCCAGCCTAAGGCACAACTTGCCCCTAAACCACCAGCCAGTATGGATTCTAAGACTCCTGGAAAGGCAGCGGGGCCGCCACAGTCTGAAAAAGAAAAAGTCAAATCAGAATCAGGTGGTAAGGCCAGTGCTGATGACTTGACAGATGACAACTTGCTTGGAGCTGAAGGCTTTTTTGTCCAAGATGACCCTATTCCTCAGACATTACAAACAAAACCTGAGGAATCAGATGACAAAAATGCTTCTATCAATACTGAAAAACCAAAACCTGGTACAGACAAGCCTCCTGTAACTGCTCCTTCTACTGTAGTATCAAAAAATACTGCTCCACAAAATTCCCACAAACCAGAGGGACCATTAACAAACAACAAACCCCAATTGCTTCCAAAGCCCCCTGGAATCCAACAGGACCCACAAGATTCTGTCCATATGCAGTCAAGGCCAGATCCTACAAGGCCTCCTCCTGGAAGGGGACGAGGCCAGCCCCCAGTGCCTGTCCAAATGCCTGGACGAGGACGTGGGCAAAGGGGCTGTGAAGAGTTTAGGGGGCCGAATACTATGCCGAATACTATGCCACATGAGGAGGATATGGAAGAAATGTCTTATGACTACATGCCACCCGAGGAGAACTTGGAGATGCAGGAAGAGGAGGAGGACTATCACTGGCACGATCCTTCATACGTGGAGTGCGGTGATGAGGAATCGGAGGTGCCCCCTGAAGAAATGTGGACATCAGATGGACATCACTACTCGACAGAGGAAGAGTATTATGAAGAACCAATCGGAGGACCTCCTATGGGGAGAGTAGGGCCCCCAATGATGAGAGGAGGGCCCCATATGGGAAGGGGAGGCCCACCTATGGGCAGAGGTGGTCCTCCTATGGGTAGAGGCGGACCCCCTATGGGTAGAGGCGGACCCCCTATGGGTAGAGGCGGACCCCCTATGGGTAGAGGTGGGCCACCTATGGGTAGAGGAGGGCCACCAATGGGTAGAGGGGGTCCACCAATGGGTAGAGGGGGACCTCCAATGGGTAGAGGGGGACCTCCAATGGGAAGAGGGGGGCCCCCCATGGGTAGGGGAGGACCCCCAATGGGAAGAGGAGGACCACCCATGGGTAGAGGAGGACCACCTATGGGTAGAGGAGGACCACCTATGGGAAGAGGAGGACCACCTATGGGAAGAGGAGAGCCAGTGGAGATACACTGGGAAGAACCTGAGTCAGCAGAATACTCAGAGGAAGGGGATCCTTACTGGGGAGAAGGGAGACCTCCAATGAGAGGCATGAGACCCCCATTTCCACCCGGCAGGGGTCGTCCTCCACCTGGACATCCTGGTTTCATGCACCCAGGAAGAGGACGCCCTCCTCACCCAGCACATGGGCCAATGGATCACGAGTCATTAGGTCATGGAATGGAAATGGATGATACTGAAATGGATCCAGAAGGGTACCATGGACATGACCCTCATAGCCATCCGATGCATCCTGATGCAGGAAGAGGCAGGCGTCGTGTACCACCGCCTCACGAAATGATGGATCCTATGGAGGAGCCATTGTACGATGAAGGCATGGAGAGAGAATTAGAGTGGCAGCCGCCACATGGCAGAGGCCGTCCTCTGGCTCCACATGAGATGATGGATTCCGGAGGAATGAGGAGGAGACCTATGGGTCGAGGGATGGCAAGAGGCATGTGGCGGCCAGGTCCAACACATGAGGAATATGAAGAAAGACATAGTGAGGGTTTTGTAGCGGACTATGGTCATGGAGAAGAGGGGTATCGCTGGCGGCCACCAAGAGACTATCCTCCTGATGACTATCGGCATGAGGGCAAGTACTATGAGTCTGAATGGGACAGTGAGCGTCCTCCTCCTGAGAGGGACTATCCCCCTCGCATGCCGCCACCTGAGCCCTACAGAGATGGCCATTGGCCAGAGGAAAGAGAACGAGGTCGCCCATATCCTTATGATGAACATGACAGGGAAAGAGGGGAACTTAGAATTTGTGAGTATAGGGATGAGCCACCGTACCGACAAGAAGAACCACCATACCCACCACCAGCACCGCCTTCAGAATGGGATAGGCCTTCAAGAATTCCTCTACCACCAGAGAGAGGGTATTCTGCTGACTATGAGGATCGCAGAGCTCACTATGATGAGCGTAAAGAAGAGCCTCCTTTGGATATACGGACACCTTTACCTCCCGCTGTACCTGTCACAAATCCTCCAGAGAGCTCCGTTGATCCAACATCTCAAGGACCAAGTGGAAATGTACTTGCTCTGTCCCAGCGTCAGCATGAGATCATCTTGAAGGCTGCTCAAGAGTTGAAACTTATAAGGTAATTTGTAGACTTTTATCATTGATCAACACATTATGTGCTAGGTTTGCACAAAATACATTACAACTTGTCTAGTGAGATCTAGCCATACAGAGTGCAGTGTTATTATTTGCCTAGGTTTTGAAATATCCAACTCTGGGATTTCTGCCACCACATAAAAACAGTTGAGATGAAATTTTAACAAGCTTGGCTGCCCTGCCTTTGCACTCTGTAGTCATTGTTTTATTTTAGTTGCAGCTCTGCCATATTGCTTGTGTGTTATCTACTTTACTTTATGGTCTAATGGATTTGGGGGATTCTGGGGTGTCAACAGGGAATTGCAGGAGGGGAAGACACCTGGTGCTGAACCTCAGTCTGCACCACCTGACATCCTGTCTGAGCTTCCTGCTGGTCTTCTTGGTTTGGAGATCCCACCAGATGTCAGGAATGTTTTGAAGGTAAATTATTTAGCTTTGTTAGTCCCATTAGTAAGAGTGCATCACTGTAAGACAGGCAAGATCACTGGTTATGCATGTTGGTTCAAAACATGTCAGTAATGTGGTACTAAAGGACCAGCACGGCCACTAGAGGACGCTAGGCAGACTTTTTTCCATACATTTTTATAAATGTTTTTTTTTTAAATTATATTTTTTATTTTTGTTATTGTTATTTATATGAACATGGCTGGACGATATGGCCTATAAACAATATCATGATGTTTTTTAGGCTAAATCGCAATACACGATAAATATCTAGATATTTTAAAATCTCTCGTAAACTACTAAATTACTAAAAAAAACTACTGTTAAACTGAAGAAAAAATACTCTTACGATTAATAAAGTACTGATATAAAAAAGTTAAAGTTCTGTTGTAATTAAGTTTTTAAAAAGTACTATTCTCATAAAGTTAAAGAAAGTACAGTTAGAACAAAGTTAAATAAAATACTGTTATAAAGATAAATGAAGTTAAATGAAGTACAAATAAAATAAAGTTAAACAAAACACTGTTAAATAAGGCTCTGTTATAATAAAATTTAAGTGTGGCTGTAATGACATAAATCAAAGCAGAACCACTGGCACTTTTATTCTGAAGCACCCGGCTCATCTCGGGCTGGAAGTATTGATGTTTTTGTTGTGAACTTGGAGCTTTCCGTCAACAGTTAGCTGTTAGCAGAAAGTTCAACTATTACAGAGGAGCTGTTTAATGTGAAGATTTATTAACCGTGACTTGGAAACAAACTAACATTCCTCCAGTTCATATATCAATATTATTTGCAAGGCCCACTGGTGCTCCATGGTCGCAAAATACAAATAATTGGCCGTGGTCTGGAGCTCTGCAGATACAGAAACATGCACACAAACTATCGTCCAAGAGAATGTGATCTGGATGGGCAAGGGGAGTGTGTGTTTGACATATCATGTTTGTGCAGGTAGCTTAAAAAAATTACATGACAAGTCATACTGTGTGTCTGTGATGAGTGAGTCTGTGAGTATAATCTGTATATCACCCGCTTGTATAATTATATACTTTTTTATATTTTTTACTTTGCCATTTTGTATTTACCTGTCAGATTAGTATCATATTAAATCTGCCATCCATAGGGAATCGGTACTACTGCTCAGACAGCTGTAACTGAACCTGTGTCCTGGGATCCTAAACCTGCTGCAACAGATTATCAGCCATCTCTCTCTGTATCCACAACTCCACTGATTCCAAAGACTGTGGATTATGGGCATGGGCACGGTATGAGCAGCAAAGAAACACATTTGACCATCTTAATAGATAAACAACAGATGTAGTTTCAGGACTTTGTTGTGACATTAAACCTTAATGTTTCAGAGCCCGGAGCCACTGTTGAGCGAATCTCTTATGGTGAGAGAATTATATTGAGGCCTGACCCTGTGACATCAGACAGGGGCTATGAGAAAGGTGAGTCTCTGTCCCATTAATCTTTCCTGTGTCGAGTCAAACAGAGCTTGCTTTTGCAGATTTCCAACCATTGTTCATTAATGAACTGTTTCATTCTCCTAGAACCTCTCAGAGATCCTTATGGCAGAGACCCTTATTACGAAAGACGATCGGACCCCTATTTGGACCGCCGGGATTACAGCAGAGAGAGGGAATTATACAGAGAGAAGCCACCTGAATATGAAAGAGAAAGAGAAAGATATGAGAGGGAACGCTATCCCCCACGAGACAGAGATGACAGGTAACGTGTTCCTTTGGTGGCCCTGAAACCCTTTTTTTTCCAAACTGTGCGGAAGTGCGCTGTCTCCGTACATGTGTAATATTGTTTTCTGTTTGTCTTTTGATTCAAGCACACAGTCCATGGTTGAAGAAAGGTACAATATCACATTGTGTCACTACATTGTGATTAGTCATCAGTGTGTGCCAGTTTGAAACAAGAAATTCTGTTGGCATCACTTAACAACGCTCCTCCTCTGTTTAGATCTCCGCTGGTACCTTCTTCACGCTCAGGATACAGGGACCGAGAGCGGGAACTTCGGGAGAGGGACCGAAGTGGGAGTCGTGATCGTGACGAACATTATGGAAGGCCTGGCTATGACAGACCTCCATACGAGCGCAGCGGACTCGACCGCGGTGTGCCTGAGCGTTACGGCCATAGCTCCTCACCTTACAGTAGGTTCAGTCTCTACATCTGTTAACAGACGTGTACTCACGTTCTTCAGCTGTGTTTGGTGGGAATTTATTTCACACTTAAGCCCAGTTCAGACCAGAGATTCCCAACGAGATGAAACTGGCTTTGAAGAGAAAAGCTGCAGCGGTGTGAACTGGTCTCAGCTTTTATGCTGGCTGATGGAGTCACCTGTGACTCAGTTTTTCCAGTTGCCAGTGGCTGGTTTTAGAACGTAAGGCACGTCACCTATTTCAACAGCCAATCAGCTCGTAGCCAAACTTGCTGATCAAGTCAGGTAAACTGTCTGCAGATGGCGGGTTTGCTTGCTGTGGCATTTTCCCATAACAGCCCTTCATCTCTGCCAAGCCTGTCTAATATACATCCATGCAGCTGTTGACACGTATTTCGTCTTTGTTGGATGGTGGGTTGCTGCTGCTGCTCGCTGTATGTGCACATGTCAAACACACACACACATATTCATTGACTTATTAATCGATTGAGCTGGATGCTTACATTTTTGTGGCTTACATTTTTGTGAATCGGCCCATCTGAAACTCAGTTTGTGTTGTTTATGTAGTCATTGTTTCATCACTACTAGAAATGCAACTGTAGGAAGTATCTCACTATTCTCATACATATTCAAAGAGGCTACAAATTATATTCAGCTAAAAAATATACCCAATAGGCTGGAAATCAAAATGGAAGTACATACAGTACAGGCCAAAAGTTTGGACACACCTTCTCATTCAATGCGTTTTCTTTATTTTCATGACTATTTACATTGTAGATTCTCACTGAAGGCATCAAAACTATGAATGAACACATGTGGAGTTATGTACTTAACAAAAAAAGGTGAAATAACTGAAAACATGTTTTATATTCTAGTTTCTTCAAAATAGCCACCCTTTGCTCTGATTACTGCTTTGCACACTCTTGGCATTCTCTCCATGAGCTTCAAGAGGTAGTCACCTGAAATGGTTTTCCAACAGTCTTGAAGGAGTTCCCAGAGGTGTTTAGCACTTGTTGGCCCCTTTGCCTTCACTCTGCGGTCCAGCTCACCCCAAACCATCTCGATTGGGTTCAGGTCCGGTGACTGTGGAGGCCAGGTCATCTGCCGCAGCACTCCATCACTCTCCTTCTTGGTCAAATAGCCCTTACACAGCCTGGAGGTGTGTTTGGGGTCATTGTCCTGTTGAAAAATAAATGATCGTCCAACTAAACGCAAACCGGATGGGATGGCATGTCGCTGCAGGATGCTGTGGTAGCCATGCTGGTTCAGTGTGCCTTCAATTTTGAATAAATCCCCAACAGTGTCACCAGCAAAACACCCCCACACCATCACACCTCCTCCTCCATGCTTCACAGTGGGAACCAGGCATGTGGAATCCATCCGTTCACCTTTTCTGCGTCTCACAAAGACACGGCGGTTGGAACCAAAGATCTCAAATTTGGACTCATCAGACCAAAGCACAGATTTCCACTGGTCTAATGTCCATTCCTTGTGTTTCTTGGCCCAAACAAATCTCTTCTGCTTGTTGCCTCTCCTTAGCAGTGGTTTCCTAGCAGCTATTTGACCATGAAGGCCTGATTGGCGCAGTCTCCTCTTAACAGTTGTTCTAGAGATGGGTCTGCTGCTAGAACTCTGTGTGGCATTCATCTGGTCTCTGATCTGAGCTGCTGTTAACTTGCGATTTCTGAGGCTGGTGACTCGGATGAACTTATCCTCAGAAGCAGAGGTGACTCTTGGTCTTCCTTTCCTGGGTCGGTCCTCATGTGTGCCAGTTTCGTTGTAGCGCTTGATGGTTTTTGCGACTCCACTTGGGGACACATTTAAAGTTTTTGCAATTTTCCGGACTGACTGACCTTCATTTCTTAAAGTAATGATGGCCACTCGTTTTTCTTTAGTTAGCTGATTGGTTCTTGCCATAATATGAATTTTAACAGTTGTCCAATAGGGCTGTCGGCTGTGTATTAACCTGACTTCTGCACAACACAACTGATGGTCCCAACCCCATTGATAAAGCAAGAAATTCCACTAATTAACCCTGATAAGGCACACCTGTGAAGTGGAAACCATTTCAGGTGACTACCTCTTGAAGCTCATGGAGAGAATGCCAAGAGTGTGCAAAGCAGTAATCAGAGCAAAGGGTGGCTATTTTGAAGAAACTAGAATATAAAACATGTTTTCAGTTATTTCACCTTTTTTTGTTAAGTACATAACTCCACATGTGTTCATTCATAGTTTTGATGCCTTCAGTGAGAATCTACAATGTAAATAGTCATGAAAATAAAGAAAACGCATTGAATGAGAAGGTGTGTCCAAACTTTTGGCCTGTACTGTAGAATCGCTGCTATGGAGATGATACACTGTTTTGTCTAGTTGCACTAGTATAAACTGCAAGTTGTCGTAAGTTTAGACTTATCTTGTTGCAGATCTTTGGTCTGAACCATAGAAATAAAATGAGAAGGGAGGACATTGAGCTGTTTGTTGTGGTCATTTGACTAGTGCAAAAGTCAATGGCGAGTGGCGTCAGTGGGGCCATTAATTGTATCAGACTTACTTGTTTAAGAACTCCCTTTTGGCCCACTGTTATTTAGTTATTTTTTCAAATAATGCATTACTCGTTGAAATGTTATTTCCCTTTTTCTTTTGTTGCCTTTAATTGCCTGGTTGTTGAAACGTGATATACTGTAGCTGCCTTCAAAGAACGAGTGAGAGCCGCTGCTCAGTAAGAGGCAGAGAGAGACTGCAGGGATAAACAGCATGCTGATCGGCATTTTTTAACATCTAACTCAGTGAAGTTACTGACTAGATAACAGTTGGTGATTGGTGAAACAGTGGACTAATTAGCTAGGTGACTACGAACACTAAGTAAGCTGGTTTTGGTGACTTTTATTTTGTTTCTGTGGAGTTTGAATGAGGTATGTCTGGAGTTGGCCACTGCTTGTTTGATTTGAAAACGTATCTTGGCACAAGAAAAATGTACATACTAGAAAAGACCTCCGCCAAGTAAGTGATATTCCCTCCTCCTCTGCATCAGATTTTGCAGCCTGCATCACAATTAGGTTATTTGCATCACTATCATTATTGGTTAGGTTATATATGCCTTCACCATGGAGACACTGGTGTATTTATTTCGTTTTTATTTTGTACCAACACAGAATATATTGGTTTTTTTTTATATATTTTTCACTTTCTTTTTTCCAACACAGAACATTAATTTCAACTTTAGAATTACAACAGTATTTAGCAAGTAGAACAAGACGTGCTTTCCAGCCACCAGATGGCACTATTTTCACCGTCTTAATTGCTGCTGAGGCTGTCAGACCATAGATTTAATTTATTATTTTATCCACTTTGCTTCAACCGATCACCACCAAAATTTTATCATCTGTTTCTTGTCCCATTATCCACCTTTCCTGAAAATTTCATCAAAATCAGTTCATAACTTTTTGAGTTATTTTGCAGACAAACAAACAAACAAAACAAACGCGAGCGAAAACATAACCTCCTTGGCGGAGGTAATAAATGGCTCTTATGTTGATTTGAAGGGAATGTCCATTCTACTCTTATTCTGTTTCTATGGTCTGGACTGGGCTTTAAATCACAAATTTATTTCTCAGTTATTAAAAGTTTATCTATCGTGGGGAAATAGTGCCATTCAGAGAAATGCTTTAACTGCAATCAATATCACACAGTAGACAGGAGAAGTTACCAAGACGACAGAGGGCCTCCCCCTGCACCTGCCCTTCCGCCTCCACCTCAGCCGCCTCCACGAGTCGAGAAGAAACCAGAAATCAAGAATATTGACGATATCCTCAAACCACCTGGCAGATCATCTCGACCTGAAAGGGTACTAATAACTGCCGCAGTGTTTCCTGATGTGACAGTATCACACTGTAAGTTGTATTATACTGAATACTAATTTAAGTGATTTATTTTAACAGATTGTCATCATCATGAGAGGCCTTCCAGGAAGTGGAAAAAGCCATGTTGCAAAGCTCATACGGGTGAGTGGAGTCATACCAGCAAAATAAATACTCACAGACCTTCCCAAGAAGATGTTTTTTAACATGACAATTATCAATGCCTTTTAATAACAAAACAAACTGAATCATGAGAACTTTGCTTTTCAATCTTGTTGGCATTTAGGATAAGGAAGTTGATTGTGGCGGCGCACCTCCAAGAGTTCTTGTTTTGGACGACTATTTCATGACGGAGGTTGAGAAAACTGAGAAAGACCCAGACACGGGAAAAAGGGTCAAAACCAAGGTGAGTGTGACGTGCAACGATACCAAAGTGGTGCTAAAAAGTATGCAATTGGGAACCAAATTCAGCAGCAGTTAACAGTATAAACAATGTAATACAATAAAAAAATCTGTCTTGCAGGTTCTTGAGTACGAGTACGAGCCGGAGATGGAGGACACGTACCGGAGCAGCATGCTGAAAACGTTCAAGAAAACTCTGGATGACGGCTTTTTCCCCTTTATCATTTTGGACACTATTAATGACAGGGTTAAACATTTTGATCAGTTCTGGAGCGCAGCTAAAACAAAAGGTTTTGAGGTGAGTAGTGTTCACAAATGTGTCAGAATCGAAAGTGTTGTTCCAGTCTGCCCTGTGCTAAAGAGGTTTTGTTTTCCTTATTTCAAGGTGTACCTCGCTGAAATCACCGCAGACACACAGACTTGTGCGAAGAGAAACGTCCATGGGCGCACACAAAAGGATATAACGAGGGTCTGTAATACCAAATAACTGTCTCCGAAACATTTGTAATGAGAGAGATGTTCACTGACGATCCTACATACAGAATACATTTCTTATGGAGCATTTTATATGCAGATGGCCAACAACTGGGAGCCTTCGCCACGTCATATGGTGCGCTTGGACGTCCGGTCGCTGCTTCAGGATGCTGCTATAGAGGAGGTGAGGTCTTCAAAGCTTGTCGGTTCTTGTAGTTATAATTATAGTTGCCTGATTTCTGACAGAATTGGCACAGACTCAGTTTCCATCTTTAGTCTGACATTGTGTCCACTCTAACAGATTTCCATGGGGAGAGGGATTCAATTTTCCTTAAACAGTCACCAAGAAACCAACATATTCATGGGAACTTAACGTCATTTTCAGTCCATACTGATGTGTAACTGTGCTAACATACTTGCTTTGCTGGGGTTTAAAGAGTGAAGCACAGAGTGGGGCGATTCAAAGGTCTGGACACTAACATGTGCTTGTGTTATTAGGTTGAAATGGAGGACTTTAATCCCGATGATGAGCCCCAGGAGCAGAAGAGAGAGGAGGAAGAAGAGAGTGATATGGTAGGACACGGAAAGCTTAAATATATGGCCACATAGTTTCAGAATCATTTCCACTTATTTGTATTCCCATCTACCACATAAGGCTTGTCCAGTTATTCAATTTATTATGTAGTAAATATAAAGTTTTCGAGGAAGAGCAGAACAGAGAAAATACAAGGGAGCTAGACAAACACTGTACTGAATCATTTTAGAAATAAATTAATAGGTGCAGCAGTCCATTAACTAAAGGAGCAGTTGCAAGATTCCTGTTTAGTTTTTTCCTTTTTTTCCTCAGATTTCCTTGTTAGTGAAATTTGAAATAATTTTCTTCTTCACATCAATGTTGTTGTTTTTTTTTTTAAAACAAAGTTTAATTTTTGAAATTGATATTGTTGCTGTAGTACCACCACCAGGAACAGTGTTCCCAAACTTTGGCCTCCATTATTGTGAATGAGACTTAACCATTATACTAAGTTCAGATTTTCACTCATGGAAAGACAAAAACAAAAATACAAAAGACAGAAATTCAATGTCAACTAAAAAGTCATCATTGAAAAAACATGAAAACATGTCTTATCTGTTTTTTTCTGTCAGTCCTTTCTAAAATCCTGGGATTTTAAAAGAAATGAATGAATAATCGTAATTTATCTGCCAAATGAATTTTACAAAGATGACGTAAATATTTCCCTCTGAAAAGAAGGAAAATGTTTACAGAGATACTCTGATTTTTATACAATCCCAAAGCAAATAATATAGTTATCCAGTTCTGAACACATACAACTGTTCTGGTGAAATTTGAACAAACAAACAAACAAACAAAAAAAAAGTAAAAAAAAAAAATTGAATTACCTGTACTGGTGTTGATAACATCAGAGTGGTGGACTTTGTAATATCCACCACTCAATGCCAAGCACTCAATGCTTAGTTAAAGATTTTGGAAGTTTAAATGTTTCTTTTGGTACCGCTCTCAGGGGAAATTTCCCCATATGGAGTATACAAAGCTTGGGACTATACTTGCGGGGCAGGCAAAGTTTCATGAATTTCTGATCATGAAAAGTCATTTTCATGAGAAGGGAAAAAAAACAGTTGAAACAATAAGCCTGCATAATAATCAAACAGCTAACAACAAATCTGCCTTACCGTAAAGCAGCTATAATACATATTTTTCTAATAACAATGTCTCAAATAATGGAAAACTATGTAACAATGTGAAAGGGGTTACTCGCAGTAATAAACCACACCTATAGATCTCATTGGCTTCATGGAGTGTTATAGTGAGCAATTGTTTAGCTGTCAAGCTCACAACTTCACTGTAACACACTGCACACAACCTGCTCAGCAGCAAACATCAGGCGCAGCTGACGACTTGCTGGTGAACGTAGCGAAGCATTTAGCAGCTTAAGAGCCAGATACTTTATTTATGAGTTTGCACTAGTGTCTGGTAAGCTGTAAGGAGAGCATGACAACATGAAGGAGCTCAAATATCAGTAATGGTGGGAGGGGGGAAGATGTGCACACCACACGTTGTGTTTGTTTGCTAAAAAGTTCATGCACTTTTTGGGGTCATAAGACGAGACAAGGCAGTGTTACTGCCACCAAGTGGACCGGAGTGGCTACACTCTCATTCATGGGCTCTCTCAGTCTCATAATGTTCCACTTGGGAGCGGCTGCTTAATATCAAACCGGTTTAAAAAGTTTTTGCGCCAGTCCAACCAGACCATTAAGGTCCCATTAGTGCCATTAGGTGGCATCTGTTAGTATGGTACAGCTGTAGCACAATATTGACTGGTACATGAAAATGCCTTAGTAACATAGAAGATTGTTTTATCAGACCATTCTTGTTTGAAAATCACAAGCTCTGCACTGACTGTGCTGTTTCCATCTGTCATGTTTATTAAAATATGCCTTAATATTTCTAAACCACTTTGACTGTAGTTTGTTCAAACAAAATTTTATAAAAGTCCATTTTGAATTTTTAGACATTTTGTGGTACCTTCGTGGTTAGCACTTAGTGCTGAAGTGCAGAAAAAAATATTGTTTCTAGGGTGTATGAATTAAAATCGAGCTGCTTTGATTATTGTTACATTCAGCCAGTTGAGGCCTGCAGTTCCACACAGAGCATGCGTGTCGTCTCCCAACGTGTACTGTTGATCATGAAGCTGAAATCACCCTAACCTTAAACCGTACTGTCTGAACTGCAGGTCTAAAACTGCTGCATTGTGGCCCTGCACATTAATCACAATGGGTCAGACTTTTAAGTCTGCCTGGTGTGATTGCTGAAACCATTAGTTCTCACATCCAGATAGTTTAAATAATAATGGTAATTATAAAAATGCCCCTTAAGCCCTTGTGAGAGTTTTCTAGCACCTCTGGTGTCTGAATTCTCAATAATATCAGAGCAGTAGACGCCGATTCTTTATTTAAAACAAACCACTCTTATTATTGAAACAAATGACATTTGACATATGACACTTTCCAACCGCCTCATTTAGATTTTATAAAGAGTTTTGATTTCTTCATTTGTTGTAATTTTTTCCTGACATCTTGAAAAATCAAGAAACATTTACAACAAATTAAAGTTACAGACATCACACTGATTTGAGAAGTCCTCAAATATCACAATATGTGTCTCTGTATCTGTACTGAAGTTTTTATTAAGCTCTCCTGAAACCAGTTTTGTGTCCCACAGTGGACCACAATTATACAGAATGTGTAAATACAAAGTCAGTGTTCCTTGTTTGCAGAAATACTATATTTACATTCATGCTACAAGTCAGCAAAATCAAATCCTTTAACGACTGTCTCTTTTCAGTCACAAGAAATTAAAGGTTACAACTTAGAGCTTTGCTTAAATCTCTAGAACAGCTACATCAAGGAGCATCAAACACTTTATCTAATAAGGCTGTTGCTGGTCCTCAGTGTGGTGAATGTTTTGCGTCCCCTGGACAAACCAACACTATGGAGTCAACTTTTACGAAACAAAAAGTCTCAATTAATCTTCCTTATAGCATAGTACACTACTTTATTCAAGCCACTATATGTTGGCTTTTGGCTAATTTACTCTGAGCTAAGTATGATACTTTAAAGAGACCAATGATGCTCAAATTGCTTTTATTCTAATTTCTATAACATAAAAAACAAAATTATACTTGGAGTCCGTGTATCAGTACATCAGTATTGCCGCTGAAAATAGCAATTAATTTTACCACACCTGGCATCAAAGTTGGATGTAGTCAGATATTGTTTATTGCAGTTGCGACCACATCCAGCAGTGATGTCATGTTAGTCAGAAGCGCACTGTGAGGTGCTAAACTGCACAGAGTGTGGACAGAGCATGCAGCAGCTGCTGCTTGGCAGTACAAGCTGGAACTCCAGTCTGTATGTAGTTTTGTTTTTTGTTAAAGGTTCTGTATGTGATATTCAGAGCATTAATATAGCAGCAAACAACTATTAAATGTGTTAGGATGTTTAGTGGACTGATGGTTTCCTGAGTGGAGAATGAAATCACAAATCAGAGCCTCTGTTTTCTCTGTTACGGTCCGACAGTCCGACCGTGCGTGCGTGTTTTTGCATGTGAGTTCCTGTGTGTATCCCAGTGGCTAGCTAGTAGCTGCCACTCTGCAGTGACCTCATACAGTGGTTACCGCTGATAAACCCGTCCTGACCCACTGTGGCCAAATGTCGTCATCGCAGATGCGTAACACCCTCCAGTACCCCACATTTCAACAATGTAAGCTCTGTCAGCACTGTTGTCATTGTTAGCGCTGTTCATGCTGTAAGCACCGTTAGCTGCTAGCCACAGTGCTCAGACACCTCCATGTTGAGAGCTGTGTGCAGACAATCCTGGCTCAGACTCTGAATCACAGATGTGCTCTGAATGTCACATACAGCTACTTTAAATCTGATTATTTTTCAGTAAAGTCTGTAGAGAGGCTGTTTGTCTTGTGTGTAATATTTTTATAAATAATCTGAACAGACCTTTGAGTCTGTTGTCCTTTAAAGCAACAGGATGCCTCCTTTTTTTTAACTTTAATCAACATTCTTCAGTTTGTACAATAAACAGGAATCCAGTGTGCCTTAACTCAGATTAAATCTGAGCAGATGCTGCAGGAAGACGAACTACCAGCAACACATCACTATCCTATATGTTTTCTTTTTGTCATACTCATAACAAATTGAGCAGTACTGATATATTCATCTTAATTTTACACACTTTAAAAAATAGTCAAAAAAATGCTTGTTTTTTTACAGTATGCACCTAACGCATACTGAATAAAAAATCAACTTCTTCAAAGCTCCTACACACGCAGTGTCCACCCACACAGGTATTTTCACTTCATGCACCTGATTAGACTTCCTGTCAGGACTGAATGGGTGTGTACAGACTGTGCTTGATTGTCTTTCTGTGACAGCAAAGCGCCGCCCATCTTTAACCTGAGCAGAGGTCTAATCTGAAAAATTGAAAACACCCGTGTTAAAGTTTTTAAATTTTTGCACAAAAATTAAAAGGGGTAAAAACATATATGTTTTGACCGGTGTAAATTACATTCTACAAATAAAAGAGAACCAAAGCAAATAATTAAATAATCAGCACAACAGCAAATTCATGTCAAAAATAAATAAATAAATAAATAGATGAAAACATTTTTGAATACATATCTAATGTGGAATTTAACAAATTACCTCATAATCTAGTCTGTGAAAAGACTTTTATATCCAGTGTTCCTTTTCTTGAAGAGACAGGGGAGATTTATCTTGATATAGTAAGAAATAAAAAGATGTTAGAAAGTCTTGTCATCACCCATAGGGATGGAGATTGATAAGATTTTCTTGATACCAATTTCATTATGGCTTTTGCTTATCAGTCTGATTCTTTATCGATTACCTCATTGATTCTTGATCAATTTTCTCTGTTATTACGTCTGAGTCTGACCACAGTGTAGATAAAATGAGAGAATTTTTGTACAGCATTCATTTTAATTTAGATTTTCTTGGTCAGAGAAATCTGCTCGGCCTGCCTACTTGGAGTTAATGTTTTTGTAACAAGACATTTACCCTCAGTGATGGATGTGCTGCTCAGTTGAGAAGCAGTGGCACTTGTGTGTAGAATGTCAAATACATGACATTCCAAGAATTTAAGCCCAGTTTGATATAATTGTTTTACAGCATACAACAGCCAGAAAAACATGGCAGCATCATTAAAAGGAATTGGAGGCAAACAATTCCGATGGATCAGAAAATTCAGAACTGGTTCTCAAACAGAACCGGTTCTTAATTCCCATCCCTATACACCTAAAAGGCTTTACAAAGAAAAAGAAGTTGATAGGAAAAACAGCGACTTGGAAGGGACAAAAGTCCCTCGAATTCTTAAAGTCAAAGAGAGATAAACTGACCTAAATGTGTTGTTGTTTGACTGATGAAACCATCAAACATGATGTTAATTATAACATTTTGACAGAGATGGGCCATGGAGGCAACTATTATCAGCTTTACTCATTTTATTTCATCACTCGTTGCAGAGGCTGTTTTGTCTGTCATATATTATATGGGGCAAAGGTTTTGCCTGGGTTTATTGTCTTTGATAAAATAATTAACTTTTTTTTTTTCTTAAATTAACATCATCTCAGCTGCAGTAAAAAGAGGTCGCTCTTTGAGTGATGTACCAGACATTCATATGCTGGTCATGATGTTTCAAAATTGGAGCTTGCAGCTATCCAGAATAACTTCATCCAAGGGAAACAAACCTTCGAGGTGTAATTGCACTCATTTTAAATATATATTTTAAGTTCCACAAAGTCCTTACTGAGGAACTGGGTAGTGCTGGCAGTGGACTGTTAGCAGTTTGCTGTTAACTAGCCAGTCAGATAGCATCAGTGTCATTTGACAGCTGAGGATTCGGAGGGATGCTGTTGGAAAAGCGAGTGTGCTTTTTGGACCATCAACATATTTATGATTTGTTAACAAAGCTGATATTCATGTTTGAGCAGCAGAGCTGCAGACTCAGTCAGAGGGGCATCTTTCTTTGTAATGTAAAATGTGTAGATCATTAGCTCACACATGCAGACTACATAATAGGAGATTGAAGTGCTCTTTTTGCTGTTTTATCCTCTGACAGAAGATGGAGGTTTGCCAAGTAGCAACAGAGTTTGTGTTCTCCAAAGCAGAGCACAGCTGATCTCCATTCTTACTTTTCTTTTACATGTAGCCACAAACACAGTTCAGTCTGAACACATTAGTTTCTCTCAACTTGCAGGAGCAGTATATTTGCATGCCACTGTTACATTATGTGTCTTAACTAGTTAAGTCCTCATCCGTCAGTCGCCTGTGTTGTCTTTTGATAAACCAGTCTGCTCTCTTTTCAGCCTCCCCTTGCTGTCTCTCTCCCTCTCCCTGTATCACCCAAATGTTTAACCACTGCAGTGTTTCTTTATATAATATAGGGCTACATTCCAAAAAGCAAATGGGAGATGGACACGTCTGAGGCAAAACTTGGTAGGTACTCCTTTCTGTTATTCTTATTCTTATTATTATTCTGTTATATTCATTTTGTTCATGATGTTTATGGTGCCTTGTAGTTTTATACCTGTGTGTGTATCCGTGCACTAAAGTGGGATTTATACTTCTGCGTAGAGCCTACGCTGTAGCCTGCAGTGCACCCCAGGAATGTCTACACGGCGCATACCTTCTGTCTATTTTTGTAAACTGAAACCTTTTCCCTCAGTGGAAACGAAGCTTCCGTTTACTTTAATTTCACAGATAAGAAACAATAAATTGTGATGAGTAGAGGAAAAGTCCGCTAGCCGCTAGGCTAATTTACACAATGTAAAATGCCATAGGCTTGTGCTAATAACGTTAGCTTGTTGTATTTGTGGGGAAAATGTGTCCAGTTAAATATATTTTTTTGTCTGTGAACGCTGCGAGTTATAGTGAAGCTGATTTGTGTTTGAAACTTTGAAACTGTTACTATTAAGTCATGTTTAATGTGTGTTTTAGAGGTGTAACTGCAGAGTCACAGACACACCACCGCACAAGTATAAATGCTCACAATGGCGTAGGCTCTGCATAGAGCTGACGCACAAGTATAAATCCAGCTTAAGGGTTGGCAATATACTTAATGTATCACAGCTTGTTCCACTTGGGATAGATAAAATGACCATATTGCAGCCATCAAGTGTAAATTACAAATTACATTTAAAATAAATGTAAATGTCACGTCATTTTTTTTTAAGCCACAGCATTAGACTTGCTTCAGCATTTCAGTTTTCTCACTCTCTCCTGTGGCTCTCTCCCTCACACATAAAGAAAGACTCACACAATACAACACATACACTCCTCCACCCATTCGTAATTTGACTCTGCTCTATATTTAAAGTTTACATTTTTGGATAGGATGCAGTGATGGGCTATCTATGAATATCTGCACAGTTCCATGTAGCCAAAATGATAGATCTGCACAGCAGCAGATAACATTCAGAGTTTTCAGGCATTTCTCGATCTAAGGTCATAAGAGTGATGTTTGGAAGGATTTTGACAAAATAAATGAATGTGCAGAGCAATCTATATAACATTTAACATGCCAATCATATCTCTACAGTCTGCAGTGCAAAAAGGAAGGTTAACCCTCAGCCTTGCATGTATTTTTTGCTTGGATGTTCATTTTGGACCTTTTTTTGCGAGTACTGTATAATAATTTAATGTGAGTGCTCTATTTGAGTGTGAAATACTTAAAATGCCCATCCCTACTTGAGAAGAGAGAAAGTATCCTCTTCGTCGTTTTCTTGACTTCTTACCATTATCTGCCTGGTGCTCTCTGACAGTAACACAGACATGCCATTGGAATTTCAAGAATAAAGGCAAATCTTAAATCTTGACGATATGAATAAGTGTTTTCACTTCGTACATCAATCCAGATCAATGGATTATTACACCTCTAGAAAACGTGAATGTGGTCATACTTTCTATGAATCCCACACCAGGCAATCGAGGGAGGAAAGTGACCAAGAGAACCGCCTCTAGAGTTTATTGTGATTAAACTTGTCAGATGTTATTGTATGTGACTGTATGAGAAGCAGGACGTTGCTAAAACTGATAATGCTGATTGACTGTCTGTCTTTTCATGGACAAATTAATGTTGGGATGACAAGGTTTGAGTTTTCATGGGACTGACAGAATAGTGATCTTCCATTTATACAGACAAGTTGGACGGTCTGGGGAGCGGTGGGAAGAGGAAGCGTGAAGACATGGCAGACCTGGAGGACTACCTTCAGCTACCAGACGACTATGCCACACGTTTGTCCCAACCAGGAAAGAAAAGGGTAAATCGCTATGCTGTGCTACAGAACTGTTGCTTTGCTCGTCTTAAATGTATTTGTTTGTCAACGAAAATACAGAATGCTCAAAATCCAGGTACTCCAGGGCTATTTTTCAGTTTGGAAACTCACCAAGTTGTATAACCTTACTTAATGAAGCTGATTTGTCTTGATGATGATGCTCTGTCATCCTCTTCCTGGTCATAACAAAGTACCCTGGTTGTTCTGTCAAGGTTCGATGGGCTGATCTTGAAGAGCAGAAGGAAGCGGATCGAAAGCGTGCTATCGGCTTTGTGGTGGGTCAAACAGACTGGGAGAGAATAACGGATGAGAGCGGACAGCTGGCACAAAGAGCTCTCAACCGTACCAAGTATTTCTAAGAAGATAATCGTATCTCCCCCTTTTCCCCTTCATGGAAAGGTGTGTATGTTTCTCTTCTCTATGATGTCATTAGGATTACTGTAGTTACTGCTGGCTTTTAAAAGTTAGTCATCAAATCAATGTTTTGAAATAAAAATGGTGATTTGTGTCACATTTACAACATTTAAATTTATAGTAATTACAGTTTTCATGACTTGATGTTTGGGACCTTTTCTAATTGCATGTCCATTGAAAATGTACTTTATGGATCAACAGTTTCACCAAGCCGCTTCTTAAAAAGGCTTGTCTAACATTCTCTGAGCTTATATGCAGGAAATAGTGAATAAAATGCTTTGAGTAATTCAAAAGTGACTTTGCTAAGTTTGATTGCAAGCCTATATTTTTTAAAAAATACCTGTAATATCTTCTACAATGATGCAAATACAGTATACATGGGAGTGTCTGAATGCACAAATTTATTGGGAAAGAGTTTTCTTAGATAACTTGATCACAAACTAATCTGTCTTTGGCCAGTGAATCAATGATTTCTTTTTCTTTCCGCAGGTTTCCACAATGTGAAAACACTGAAGCTTACCTGTGGTGAAACAAGAGTCTCATCGAGGTCACGATATCACCGATAGTATCAATTTTTTTAGTTGTTTCATTGATGAGGATACAGTATAGGTTTTTTTCTTATTATTTTTAACCGGGCCCTATGGTTACTCACCGATCAATTTGTAGTTTATAACTCTGTGCTTCTTCTGGTCATGCATTCTGTATTAAGTCATGTTTCTTGCTGTTTTTTACTCTTCATGCTTCCTGTACTGTTTACCTGTAGCACTGTTTCACGGCCCAGGCATACTTGAAAACAATAAAAGTTTCACAAATTTATGGTGACCTGGGGAGTCTTTCTTGCAGGAGAGCCTTATGAACAAGAGGCCTGATGTGTGTTTGCCCACAAAACAGTGAAGGAGAATGTGCTAGAAATTAAACAATGGCCTGAAGAATAATTATTGACATCTGTCTGACTTCACTTGTTTAGCCAATGTGAATTTTTTTTAAAGGGTAAGTTCAGTAATTTTTAACCTAGCACTATTATCCCATGTTTTTGTTTGTAGGTGACTTATGGGAGCAGTTTTTTTAAACTGGCCCAGTATTGAATGCGAGCGCTGCAGCCAGCAGCGGCAAAACAGCCTGCAATGTAAACACTTGGGGCAGTTGCGCACTGTCAGTTTACGTCCACTGAAAGTGTTTGTTTTTGCCACTGACAGGCTCAGATTATTATTCTCACTGTCTGACAACATTACTGAAATGATCCCTACAGAGATAGACCTTTTTGTTAAAGAGTAAGATTATTTTTTTTTAACCAAAAACAGCCTCTAAATCGCCAAACTCATCAGACTCCATTTAAACAAGGTTGAAAAATATTAAACTTACCCTTTAAGGAAGACTGGTAACATGTTGTCACTGCATGGTTAAGTGAGGAGAATGGAAGTGAGAGAATAAATGGTAATATAAACTTTCCGTGATGTGGAGCAACTCCATACACCTAAGCAAATTTCAGTGTAAAACTTTGTATGCTAATTTATCACATCCCAATCCCCAGTTTTACACTTAATGGTAGTGTGTTAGCCATTTTCTCCTTTTTTATATAGAAATAATTTAAACTTTTAAATATACAATGCTGTGACATAATTGCACCTAAAAAGAAGCTGCCATCTTTAAGAGTCCTAAGAGTTTAAAATCAGACTAGTGTATTTTTTGTGACAAATGTGCTTCTTGCAGCATTTTCTTTCCCTGAACTTGTGGCTTGAATGAATGTGAGTGTAAGAAATTGTAATGTGATGTAACTGAAAAGGACCAGCTCACTGTGGTGGTTGATGTGGTCTGTAATGTTTATCTCCTGTAGGTTTGAGAGGTTCACAGGATTGTCAAAGACTGTTTACGAAGATAACAAATTTGTCAACTAAGGAGATAAAGTTTACTAGGGACATTGGGGTTCAAGTGATTAAAGCCTGGTTTCCTCAATAATGAATTAAGCCTACAGTGGCTTTTTAAAAACAAAAATGGTAATTTGATTTTTATGTCTTATTTGAATACAAATTTTTAATCTTGCTGTTATATTACATTACATTCAGACTAAAGATGCAAAAAAGTTATTGGTACCACATTCAGCTCATTATTATTATATGTGATCACTAATGCACATCAGAGCCCATTTACCATAATGTTGATTTAACTGAAAAAGAACTCAAATGATATGCTTTTATTTTTATCTGTCTGACAAGTCAATTAAACTCTGAAAAAAAGCTCAGAAATGGCTGCAAATTTATCCGTGGACAATCTTCATGCCCTGTAGCAACTCAGATTCAGCCAGTGAAGACCCAGATGCCGGGGGGCTCATCCCACACCGCTCCAACTCCCTGCTGGATCAGCAAACTTTCTGTTGCTGCTGTTACACAGGTTAGACCCAGCTATGCCGTTGCCCATTGCTGTGACCCCCGGCACTGGGATTTGCACTTGCTGAATTTGAGGCTCATCTCTAGGGCTGCCGCCCACTTTCCTCCCAGCAAAGTAGCCCCCAAGCAGCAGTGAGTGAGGTGGAGGGACTGCAGGTTGTACTAGCTAGCTGATTCTTATCTCATTTGTAGCCTGATAAACACAGAGAGAACCCAAGAATGGGGCAAGGAGGGGCAGAGCGAATCAGTGTACTGCACGCAGTTAAATGTACCCATTTTAAAAGTAGTACCTGTATTAGTAGTAAATAAAGAGAAAAAAGAAAATTGATATAGCGGTCAGTGTTGATATTGTGGCGGGCCAGCACAACTAATTCAGTTTGTGGGAAACACTGGACATAGACAGGGATGTACACTCTGCTGCCATATTGTTATTGTTTTCCCGTTAACTGTGAGACAGATCACTACATTTTACGTCAGGACAGTATAAACAGTTTGCAACCCTGCATTAGATTGCTCACTTACAAAGTTAAATTTGTGCATGGCTAAGGGTATATGAGGACAACAACACCGAGCTAGCTTCTTCTTAGAGCTTAAGGTCATGCTTTGGCCTGAAATGCCTGGTTTGGGGGGCACAGCCTCAGTAGGAAAGGCAGCAATGCTTCAGTAAAAAATAACCATTATTCTTGCCTAAAAGTCAGCTGGAAAAAGCAGCAATGGGTCGCTAAATCACTGGTTTTGTTGTTTGTTGGTCTCAATCAGTGGTCTGCAGCTTGACAGGTGTCTTGCCCACATTCAGCTTACATATGACATCACTTGAGAAACAATATGATACATATGAAACATGCGAATATGACATATTTGTGGTTTGCAGAAATGTACAGTGCCAGCAGTTTTTTAGTGAATGGGCTGTTGAGAGCACAAATGCATATGTGCACACTGCAGTTATTAAGGAGCAGGTGTTTTTGATATAAATTTTACATTTACAAAGGGTCCACTTGTGAAACAAAGGGGTCCAAGATTTTCACTCATGGAAAATTTTCCTCTGGATTATCAACGCTGTTACGGGAGTAACGAGAGGAAACAAGGATCATTATGATCGAAGCACACAGAATGGATGATGAAGGCCTGTTTGATTTGCGAAGGAGAACCAGCCACAGTGTGTCACATGGAAAGTGGATGGATGGATCTGAATGGTGAGTATGGAAGAGAAACAGAACCACTGCTACAACAGACATCGTGTACTAATTAAGCAATTTTTGAATTCATTTAATTTCCATTTTATATATCCTGTACATAAATACAGCTTGGTAATAATGAGCTCTGCTGAATATTAAACATGTTTTTCTCATGTGCTGTGGACATTATTTTGTACTACTTAGAGAAAAATGTCTCCCAAAAATCAGAAAATGTTCAGTGTTGGACTAAAATACATTTCAATCAATAAGAATATGTGTTATTGCTACATAATGTGATTTATATAGCAAAATACATATGACAAAACAACCTTATGATGCGACAATAACAGACAGTTGATAAACTCAGACATCAGTCTGCCATATTGGAGACATGCAGTCACCTGTTTTACAATGACGCATGCTCTTCATCAGAAACTAATAGTTTGCTGATCAAGGCATGAGTAAGTCCACATTGTGACGGTAACCACTGTGGCACATGATGTCTCCTGGTTGGTTCTCATCTAGCGTGATGACTTTTGAATTCAGCTGGTACGTCACTGTCCAGTTTACAGATAACTTTGTAGATCGCTTTCTTCCACGACGGATCTCGATCCTTTCCCACTGAAATTGAAATGTAAAACTCTCTCAGTGTAATCTCAGCAACTTCCAGGAATCTGTCAGGGACCTGTGAAGATTAAAAAAGATTTTTTTACACACATCCAGTTTATATTGTAGATAATCACATTCAGGTGTTGGAAATGAAGGTAAGTAATGAGTCAAAATTTAGACCAGGGAAAACTGTTAATTGACAACAATATTAAACCAGTTGAATGATCAATAACAAACTGCATCAACTGCACAGCAGCATGAACGTTATTAATTTTAATGTGTTAAAGTTTTTTCTGTGTTTTCATACACTTAACAAATGTATTGTTCAAACAAAACAGGAGCTGGTAAACAGTATTATGTTGCAACGTCAAACCTTGCCATCCAAATTCAGTCCACTGTCCAAAGACTTTGAAGCACAGCAGACACTGCATCAGCGTGGTGTGGTGGTAATATTACATAATTCTCTACTTGCTGAAATATAAACCTTCGAGAAAAGGCTCAGGTGCAATCAAAGTTTTTAATGGTCTTGATTTTATTTTATAATAAATGTGAATTTGGACAATATCCCTACCTTTGGCCGGGCCTGACAGATACTGGATTTTTGAGGCCAGTATCAATATTGACATTCGATAGTTTAAAAGCACAATAATGATATATTGGCCAGTATATATTTTATTTAGACAACCCATGATGTAAGTACACATTTTTGATAACGTTCTCTTTTTTCTTTTTTTCCCCATTTGATGAAATATATGTTTTGCATTTCTGTGCTTCACTATATAGCAATAATCATTTATAATTTATCAGCTAATGGAATGAATTCACATCAGCTGATATATATCACATTCTTAGCTCAGGTAATCTGGTTTGTTTGTCATCTATTTGGCGTCTGGATTTTTCAGTTCTTAAAAGCTGCTTAAAACATTATGCATTTAATAGAATAGTAATTAGCAAGATAATAAGCTTATTAATTTGGAGAAAACATAATTAACAAGATTATTATCTTGTTAATTCAGTAAAATTAGCTGATTTATTTATTTATTTTTTTTTTTTTTAAACGTTTCTCATAATTCCAAGATAATAATCTCGGTAATTCAGAGAACATGACAACTTTTTTTTTTCTCAAATGAATGCTTTGTTTCCATAAGTATTAAATTAATATTAACTATTTTTTTTTTACTTATGTAATGGTGACCCTGTGACATTTTTCTTCACCAGCATTTGATCAAATATTAAAATCCCATCGAGTCTGCCATTAAATCTTGTGAGCACATTTGAGCTCCCCAAAGGATGGACTATTTATGTTCTGGATGTTCAATGTGTTCAAGTCTGCACGGAGATTACATCAGGATTTAAAAGGCCCTATAGTTTGCTGAGGATTTGTCTGTAAGCACCAGATGAGTTTTTCATTTTCAGCACCTCTGCCACCAGTTAAAGGAGGAAAAGGGTATTTTCCAACCTTATTTTGGAAGAACAATTTTTTTAACTGGTCCTGTATTGAGTGAGACCACTGCAGCTGGCAGTGGCAGAACAGGCTGCAATGTAATCATTAAGGGCAATAGCGCACCCTCAATGTAGTCCACTCTAAGTGCTTGTTTTTGTCACTAAGAGGCTCTAGTTGTTCTTGTTAGTGTCTGACATTGTGGAGAGAATTCTTCAAAGAAGTCTGCTTGTTGTTGTCTTCCTGTGACAACTCGCAAGATTTCGTCTTGAGCAAGACTTGGCTAGACACAATAACAAACAGACCTGAAGAAGCTAAAGTTAAAGGAAAAAAATGTATGTATCTGTAGGATCTTTTCCATAATGTTGTCAAATACTTACAATAACAATCTGAGCCTGTCAGTGGCAAAAACAGGCACTTATAGTGGACGTATATTGACAGGGTGCAAGTGGTCACATTGCAGCCTGTTTTGCTATTGCTGGCTTCAGTGCTTTCGCTCAATACTGCACCAGTTTCAAAAACAGTTGTTTCCATTATTCTCTTAGACACAAAGACGGGAAAATAGGGTCCAGGTTGAGAAAAAAAAATACAGAAGTTTCTCTTTGAGCTTCTATTACTGCAGAATCGTCACTGTCATGTTTGATATGCCAAATACTGATACTGATGGGTTCAGTAAACATTGGTCAGGTAGTAATTTACTGTACATCTCACAGATTGTTTTGATTCCTCTGGCTTCTCAGTGTAAAGAGCATCTGATGCCAAAGTTAGGGATTTTACATAACTTTTAAACTCAGCTGTATAGGGGAATATGTTATGGGTCACATAAATACCATCAAAGAGACAAGACACTTAATGCTCATCAGCCACAAGAGGCACCCATGTCCTCAGTTTAACAGTGTAACAGCTGAGATAGGATATGATGTCATTAAGTATTTACCCCTTTATGTGAGTATGTTGCTGCGCATGTTTCCAGCACAAGCATGGCTTAAAATAGTGTGAGGAACCAGTGTGTCATGCATTAAAACAACAGACTTTAGGTCCAACTCACAGATGAGCTTTTACTGTTGATGATGTGTGAAGGAAACCTGTTTGAGACAAAGAGGGCAGTCCCTGTTTACATTCCATGTAATATGTATGTTTGATTTGAGCTCCCACACCCAACATCACTGCTGGGTGTGTTCATGTGTGGAATCTAAGAAAATAAAAACCGAAAGAATAGAAAAATAGTTTGACATTACTTTGACGGTGACTGAAGTAAAAGAAAGGTTTATTCAGTACAGTTACATCATTTCTGTTTCATGAAAGAAACCCCAATTTTTGACTTAGGGTTAGGGTTTAACTAACATAACTAACTTTATGTTTTGGCCTGTTTTTTTGTTTGCTGGAATCCTTGATGCTCCACACAGAGCATAGTCACATAATTTCCATTTTCATTTGTCCTAAATTTTTAATCTTGTCCAAATGTGCAGGTCTTTTAAAAAAAGTCTTTAAAAGCATTGAATACAGTTTCCTTAAAAAAATAAATAAATACATTTTTTTTAAAAAGTGTATTAACCTGTGTATTCCCACTGCAGGCAAATATTTTGCCGTTATTTTTTTAAAAAAATCTGATTGCAGGCTGTCTGGAGATGTTTCTCATGTATAAACTAAAAGATTAAGACCACCGAGCAGGATGTTTAATCCCTTATTAATTATTAATTTGGCCATAAAAAAAAATGTCATAAAATTATCATGTACTTGTATGAAATTGACTTTAAATATTTCGAGGTTATGTCCCAGTAAACTGATTTCATGTTAATAATACACATTTGATGCAAATAATCCAGCACCTCTGAAATCATATCCGTTCTTGCCTACTATCCATCAGGTGTAATTGCTCTTCCTGTCGTATTTCATACAGTTGTGGTTACAGACTCTCTCCACCTCCCTACACTTGTATTTTCAGTGTAATTTATTTGCCCAAAAAAAGGGACAAATCAATAAACAAGGTTAAAGCCTTTTGGCATCGATAATCATGTTGTGAAAATCTGATACTGTGCTCACCGTGTACAAAATTAAAAATTCAAAAGTAATATAATGACCCTGCAGGTTGTTAAACGATATATTAAACACAATGCAACAACCTAATTACTCAAATCAACCAACAAATCAAAGTGACCTTTTTAAAAAAAAAAAAAAAAAAAATACTGAAACTAAAATTTGGTAATATTTTAACTTTACTCTTGAAAAAAATAATGACACTAAAAAACTGTGACATGAACTTCACAGTGTGCTTCTTTAGTTAAAAGGCTCATTCGTATCATCAAAAAGCCTTATAACAGCTATTACTAAGCCGTGTTCATTATGATATCATCTACTCACAAGTTATGAAATCCATTATCAACTGTTAATTTTTGCAGCAAATCCTCATTCAAGATTATATTCAGTAAACTCGCCTTCTATGACACTTTTCTCACTGTCTCACTGACACTTCTCACTGCTGTAGTGTTGTAATGAAGGAGATGCACTAGTTAGTAGAAATAGTATTAAAGCTACTAAATGTTACTTTATGTTAATATGTGGCAGACTGCGTGGAAAAGTACACAACGCCTGTGTGCACATAAACAGGTCAACATGAACACTTATAAATTACCAGATAAAGGAGAAAATGCTAATCACAGTGACCCTCACAGTCCTGTATCCATGCATATTAATATCAGTATTTCCTTCCACCTGTTCACTGATGTAGTGATGTCTTTATAACTTAGTTATAGTAGATTATAAAAAACAATATGAGAAGTGTTTTTTTTCTCATGCCAATATTAATATGGGTTTATGACTGGAAACTGGATGGAAGTTAAATAATCCACATTTGGCTCAACCAGTAAACTTTAAGAAGGCTTTTATTTATTTCTTTGAACACAAAAGTTGTATCTAATCTGATTCCCTGAGCTGCCCTCCCTACCTCCCCCCTCCTAAGTGTACAGTATGTGCCATATTCATGACCTTTTTTTTGTGGTAAGCTCGTTTGAGTATCTGTATTTTGTATATTTTGTCTATAGCAGTTATGCTGTTAAGTAACTTTGTGATGTGATCAAATTTACATGTTGGAAAAATTCAGCATGAATAATAAAATGTCAAAAGAAAAAATTAAGAGTTGGATATATTTTAAGTATTACTCAAATATTTCCACACAAATTCCCTTATGGACAATAAAGATATATTTAGTTATTTACTAACCTGACAGAAAATCCTCTTGAAATTATCTGCATGCATTATCACATCTAATTGAGCCTGTAGTAGATGTGTGTTTACATGTGCAGGGGATCTGGCTATAATGAAGCATGGCTTTAAATTCTTTTAAGTATTTTTTTTACCTCTGTACTTACAGTAAAAAGCAAGCACTACGAAAGCAATTCACATTAACTATGTGTATGTATCATATTACATACAAAATATTAGAAAGAGCTAAATGAATCCTGTAAAGCCACTAAAATATATAAGCCAGTTACAAATAAGGAGATGCAACTGCAGTGAAGCGGGCAGATTAGACAATTATTTTAAGATGTTAGACTACTGAGAAATATGAAGACAAGAAGATCAAAGTAAGACAAATAAAATGACCACAGTGAAAGCTCCCAAAGCAAATATCTGCATGATGTCAGTAAGATGTCATTAGTGTTTAGTTCATTCAGAGCAGTATAAGAATCACAGTGTAGCATCGGTTTACCTGGAAGTCGTTGGCTTTGTTGTAGTGCATGTTGAGAGCCCTGAAAAGTTCTGATTCTCTCCCCACAGTCAGACCCCTCACGTCGACCACTCCTTCTGCGAGAGCGTGCCGGGCGAACTTCTCCATCTGGATATAGTAGAACTCCCTGAAGTTACTGAACCACTTGATGAGCTGGGAGGTGATGCAGCGCGTGAACTGAGGATGAGGCGGACACACAGGTAAGTGACATGATCAGAGTGAGAAGGTTAATATGCTGTGATTGATTTATCTTTATGGGAGAGAGGAGTATTAAAAATACGAAGCGAATAAAATATAACTACAGCGTTTTTACATCTGTGTTGCCTTTTTTTTTTATACACAATTTGTGTTTTACAGATATGAAATAATGATGTACAGTTTTTAATCCTGATCTGATTGCTTGATTGTAATGTTGTTGACTAATAAAAAAAAGCAGAAACTATTATTTTGTCTCACTGACTCTTTATTCTGTGGCGACAGAGATGCATTATTAAAGAATAAAACAGGTTTGGGATCATGCGTCACTTTAAGATTTTCTCGCAGAAACAGCAAGAAATATGTCTCCTTCAAGGTATTAAGACATACCTTTACCAAGATTGTGACAAATGCTATACATCTGTATTTTTTACAGTAAAATCAAGTCATATTTATAAATAAAACCTTTTAAAATGGCACAAACGTATAGAAGAAATGTACCAGTGCTCAGTATTTCAAGTGTTTTCTCACCTGCACATCATGGAAACACATCTTCAGCACCAGCGAGCTCGGGTAGCGAGTGTAGAAGAACATGAGCTTTGCTTTTTTCAGGTGATTTGTGGTCAGACCCTCCTGAATGCAGCAGCGTTAAGGGTGAAACACACACATCCTGCACAAAAGAAACACCTGGACGGGAGAGATTTGGAAGTGGAGAGAAACTGCAATTTTCTTCAAAGTTTTGAGGATCAAAGGGAGTTCTTATTGGATTTTGTAAGGTGCGAAAGTTGTAGCCTTCTTTAAAAGAGAGGGGAAATAATTGTGGTAAGGTTTGTGACAGACTGGGTTGTTATTTGGACCTCAAATAGGCAAAGGGAGACTTATTACTGGTGTGGAAAAGGCAGGTGCTTCAGAAGCTACAATAAGGAATCATTATTTTCTGTCACTGTATTGATGTAGTCCAATGTTGGATCTTTTATTTGGTTTCCTTGTGGCTTTAAGAAGCAATTGTAAAGGATACATTCAGCATGTAGAGGTTATTCTTCAGGCAATCAGACTCGATCTTGACATGAGGGAGACACAGGCTTTCCAGCAGCAATGGATCCACCGACACAGTCTGTGGGCTTCTGATGGACCTGGAGTTGACCTTCGATCTCACTTTGACCGAATTCCAACGTCTGCCAAACTTTGCTTGACCCACTTCGGAGCATCCATTGTGCAAACACCTGAGGGCATGTGGACGGGCAGTGTTGTGAGTGGAGTCACAAGTGAAGGGGACTGAAGGTTTGGGATGATGCTGAGCTCTTGATCTGGACTGAAAGATGAACTTGTCAGCTCTTCCCAGTCGAGGCTTTTGCACAACCAGAGACAGAGCTTCAGTCTGAACATTTGGGACTTGCACTTCTGTATTGGTGCAACAGGAAAGTCTTAATGTATCATCTTTACCTACAGATGGCTGAAGAGGCGTATCTGTCTCTATGCTCCCCTTGTCGTTTAGTGATGTCTGTAGAAGCGGCATGCTTTTGAAAATAGAGTCGACGCTCCTGCTGACAGCCCTGGACAGTTCGTACTTTAAGACATCCGCCATCAGCTTTAATCTCTCAGGTTTGGATTGGAAGTAGTTCATCAGCTTCATCTTCTTCCATCCTTGATATTTTCTACTCGAGCTGCTCTCAGACTCGCTGTGAGAATCTGTGAATGCCTCCCTTGGAGATGTTTCAGAAGAATGGTTCCAGGTGGGGTATTTCCTGTCCTTACTGCTGTCCGTAGTGTCAGCTGTTTCGTCCACATGGCCGAATCTTGTTCTGAGCTGTCTGAGGTGCTGATGCTGACTCTCAAGGTGATTTCTCGTCATCTGGCTTCTTTCCACATGCTCCTGATCCTGAATCCTTTCATTTTCCTGCATGCCGCCTGACTCCTCATCCTGACTTGAGCTGGTCATGCCTTTGATGATATTCTCTACCCTGGCACGTTTTGCTTGATGGCCACTGTTTAAGTTCCACTCAGGGTGACCACAAGAACTCGGAGCAGGAGACAGGTGCCTCTTGGGGGGTAAATGTCCAGTGGTGCCGTCTCTGGATGGACTGAGCTCCAGCTGGCCAGTGCAAAACAGACTTGAACCAGCATCATTGCTGCTGTAATAGGCATTCTCCGGGAGCATCTTTATGTCCTTGCCGTCTTTGTGTGAAGACACAGGAACACCTGACACATCTGAGTTTGACAGCACGGGGTCTGGCTGAAAGGAGGAGAGGTGCTCTGTGGTGCAGCCGTCAAGGCAAATGCTGCTGGAAGGATACATACCTTTGCTCCAAATGCTTGGATTCATGCTTGCTAGGGTTTAAAAAAAACAACACTGACAAACTTGGATTTGACTTGACTAGCAGATAAATCAAAATAAAATGTAATAAGACGTTTTTCTGGCTATTTATTTCACTCAAATGAACTGGAATATGACTCAACTTTAACATGAAGCCACAATAATAAATAATGTCCAGATAAAAGAGAATTTTAGAATAAAGCATTTGGTATGCTGGCTTTTGTTTCACCACTAGCACACAACATTTTTCAAATATTTTCAGGTATTTCCACCTCACTTTTGAGTTGCATTTTTTTTTTAGTTTAGTCATAATTACACGAGACTTGATACATGGGTAAAAATAAAGATAAACAGAGATACAGATACAGATAAACATCTTACATCCTAGTTTGAAATGGCAGTAAAAGCTAAATAATGCAGCTTATAAAATAAAGAGCACATCTACATACAGTATAAAACAACAACCCACCTGTTGCCTGTGGAAAGGGACCCGAGGAGGATGCAGGTCTGGAGCTTGCAGGAGTGACTCAAGTATTTGTAGTGGTCCAGCTAAGAGCCCCGCCAAAATACAGGAGGTGTGGTCAAATATGTCAACCTATCCCATCCCTACCTGCACATAATGACATTAAATATGTTATTTAAATTAGGCAAATCACATTCAATGGACTATATTAAGAAAACATTCAAATTAGATTCATTTTCTTCCCATTTTTCTTGAACAGTGAACAATTAATTTGAAAGAATGTATAAAGTATGAATCACTGCCTCATGCTAGCAATGGTACAGTCCTATTACCTTAAATGAATGCTATCATCTGAAAAACTACAATAACTAATAGGTAATAATTATTATTAAGAAATAAATCAATAATTAATATGAGTTTTGTCAGGTTTTAGTTCATAGTGTCGAGTTTGATTTCTATCCACCCCCATCTCCCGCCGCTCTGTGCTCCAGACTCCCCCTCCCCTTCCTGCCGCAGTGGTTGCTCCCAGTCGGACCGCCCTCGCGCCTGGTAGCAGCGCGCTTCCGCACCGCTCCACCAACTGCTGTCAGATAAGAGACACAGCCGCTCGCTAGCGCCATGTTATCACGGTCCAGATGTGCATACCAGACGCTTGGTCGCTCTCTGTCGGCGGTGAGCCAGGTAGGTTGGACAAAAACACACTGGACTGAGCCTGTGTTTTAACTCTGAGACAGTTCCGACTGATTAAAACAAGGCACAGCTAGCGGTTAGCTAGCTAATGTTAGCTTGTGTAGCAGGGCCTCGCCTACCAAGGACGGACACTGACAGCTTCAGAGGCAGCTAGTGAGGATAAGTTGAAGAAGAAACTAAGAGCAGCACCCTGTTAACTACCTGACTATTGAAAATGGGGCTTTATATCAGAATAAAAGCAACATTTAAAGATAGCTTTGTTAGCAAGTTATAACAAACTCACTAAGTAACTAGCTAAGACCTCTGTCTGTTGTAAACTATTGGCTGTTCCTTCAAAAACTGCTTCAACACTACACCAAACAGTCTTTACCGGCTAATGTTAGCATGTTATGCTGCTGTGTGTTTATGACTGAAGTGAGTGCAGCTGACCTTACAGAAATAGCCCATGTCATGTTACACATACTATAACCCAAGTTAATAGCATGTCAAGCTTCAGGTGTCCTTAAAGTGTTTTGAGCACGTAATGGAGCTGAAACATGCACATGCCAGTACAATCTGGTGTGTCCTGTGACTGTCAGGGTTCATTTGTCCTTCTCCCTACTTCAGAGAGACTATTGGCCTGCATAGGGTTATGGAGAAATACAGTCAGTTGTCAGTTTATTAGGTACACTTGGCTAAAAATGATGCAGCCCAAAGCAGTAAAGCATACCTGCATGAAGACTAGACTACAACGGTCAGTTTGTGTTAAAAGTCTTAAAGAGGTTTTGATTTAACTTCACAGTCACTCTAGAAGTTGCAGTTTGTGGTGCTGTTGTGTTAGACTGATTTTTAGTTCATCTTCATTCACAAAAATGCACTCAGTCGACAGTTTAGTACACCTAGCTAAAACTATGTTCATCTTTAGAGGCTGCAGTTTATGGTGCTGCTACAGTTTATTGCCTCATACTGATAACTCTAGGTAGGCTTCATAACAGTGTCTACAGTGTGTCTACAGGTCCTTAAAAAGTCTTAAATTGTCTTAAATTCAGATTTGATGAGTCTTAAATAGTTTTGGTCACATTACTGCAAAAAAAACTCCAGCCTGACAGACCCAATGACTGTTTACAATCATTGGACAGACCGAAGAATTGCAGTAATAAATAGCATTTATAACAGCGATGAGATTTAGTTTTCTTTTTACATTAAACACATTTAACTTAAACTCACCCAATTGTTGTCGTTTTCCTTACTGTTCACTTTGAACTGTATGTTTAAATGGGTATTTCCATCGCAGGTTTGATCTTTAAATTCATATAAGGTGGCATTTAAAAGGTCTTAAAAAGTCTTCAGTTTAACTTGGTTATATCTGTAGACACCCCGAGTTCAACAGCACCACAAACGTCATCCTTCACATTGACCATACAGTTAAAGCAACACCTCTCCAAAACAAAAACTGATCATCATTACCTTTGTGGATTTATTGCAGGGCTGTTGCATTAGGCTTCAGTTTTGATTAGGTGTAGCCTACCTACTACCCAATAAACTGGCGGCTAAGTGTATAACTAGTGGTACAACTAATGATTACTGTTATTATCGCTTAGTTTAGTTATAACTAGACTCACAAGTCAGTCTTTAGACTCTTTGCTTAACTAAAGACTGATGTCTTTCTCCCTGATTTTGTGTTTAGATGAGTGGATACAATTTCAGAGTTTAAAAAAACTCCCTAAGTTGCAGAACCAATAGTAAGTCCACAGGGCGGTCCTTTGGTGGCTCGCTGAACTCTTGTGCTCATAAACATAGTCCGAGTGCATTAAAAGTTTTAAACAAAGTCGGTGTAAGTGCTTCATTTCCACAATCTTGTGGACTGAGCACACGTTTGATAAAACGGAGTTAAATCTCTCGGCATCCATTTTCAAGCTCTCTCTGTGTGTTTGTGTCCTCGCAGACGAGAAAAGGGGGAGTGCACATTTCCGGGAGGGCATGTCCTTTTCAAAAATGCAAGAGGCGTTGCTTTGTTGCCGGCCGTTTTCTCCGATGTGTTAAACACACTTTAGAAAGGAGTGTCCCCAGACTATCAGGAGGCGGAGATCTCTGATTGTCTGGTGGCGAGACTAAGTTATAACTGGAATCAGTGTCGGTGAATGTATTGCATTTGTGCTTTAAAAACTACTTTGGACTTTTGATCAATAGATTGAATAATTTAAGGGGATGATTGGTTGAAGGTAGGATTTGATGTGGGGCAGTTTCATTAACTTCGCAAATGTGTGTCAGCAATGGCACAAAAGACTCTTTTAGAAAATATTATAAAAGAAACCGCACAAGCAGAACAAATTGAAAACATTAACCCAAGATGCCTGAATATTTTGGCTGTTCATCCGCCAGTGTAACGTTGTACTCTCTGTTCTTCATGGTACATAATAAACACCTGTTGTTCTGGTGAGTCAGAGCACTGAACACTACAGAAACGTGGTGGCGGCATGTCTGTGCACGCTTTGATCCTCTATATAAGCTTTAATCCATTTCTGACAACTCCACCCTCCTCTGGCATCCCACATCCGGAGGTTTAGGTTTGGGAAACAAGCGACTCCACCAAGCAAACATCAATGTAAAAGCAGGCAGTACGAGGAAGGCCTCTTAACGAGAGGCTCTGTCCTCAAATTACCCCGACACATGAGTCATAACATGCGGCAATGCAGCACAGTAACAGTCAGCATAGGAGAATCCAGCGGTTTTAACGGAGAGCTATGAAAGTTCAGAATTTATGGGTGGGTTTTTTTTTAGAGGACTTACAGTTTGCATAAGCTTGTTTGTATATCAGATTAAGTAGGCTGGTTAACTGTTAAACCTTTGTGTAAGATGTAGGGGAAAAGTACGTGATGGTTTGATGCTCAACATTGGCGACAGATTTGTTTTTAATCAAAGTATGGGGAGGACAACTAATCAAAATCAACCTAATGTGATTAAAAAGTTGCCAGTTTAAAGGGCTGTCATAATTCACAGGCAACATATATAAATAATTTAATATGAACCATATTTTTGAAGTTTTACTTTTCATCTTTTCAGGCCAATAATGTGCTGGTCCAACAAAGTGCATCAGGTAAGTGTGCCTCTGACGAAGCAGACTAGACCTTTAGCTTGATGCGAGAACCTCATCAGTAATGCAGCATCTAAAACTGCAGTCTTAATGTTACTGCTCATGAATAAACAAGCTCTGTGAGTGAATCATCCAAAGCAGAGTAAGTGATGTTTGTCAAATGACTGAGATGCCTTTAGGAGCCCACAAGTGGTTAATTGCAGCTCTCAGAGAACTCCTCTCATATCTCATGTGAGAGCCTCAGGAAAAGCTGCTGTTGTTGATTTTCTTTCTTCTTCTTCTTTTTTGTTTTCTTTCAAGGCCTCCCTGTCTGCAGGCGGCTAGTTTACAGGAATTCTCAGTCGTAAGTGCTCTCTCCTGCTTTGCTGACTGTCTTTAAATGCCCCTCAGTAACCACTCTGTAGCATTGTCAGAGTCTATTTTATTTATGTAACTCAACTGTAAATCTGTGCAGCAAAAATGATCTCAAAGGGGTTTTACGTGCATTACAATAAAGGTAAAAAGATGAGGAAGGCATCTGCGTATTGATCAGATCATGTGTGCATGGTAAAGCACGGTAATTTGGTTTGCACAAATGCATTTGTCTAAAAATACAAGTAATTATTTTTTTCTCGACATTTAGATGTGAATTTCCATCATCAGCGAATGTCTTCCACATCAGATACTTCAAGACATCTGCTGTTCACAGTATGCATTGCAACAATTCTCAGCACTTTGTACTGATGGTCACTCTGCTCAGTGTTTAACTTACAGCAACTGTTGTTTTGGTGTCTGTGCAGGGGATGAGGTTGTCACAGTCAAAACTCCTGCATTCGCAGAATCTGTTTCAGAGGGGGATGTGAGGTGGGAGAAAGGTCAGTATAAGTCAAAATATCTTAGTTGTCAATATTTCACAGGAGTCGGTGTCCCATATTGTATTATGAATGGGCCAAATGTTTAATTATATTCTGCACATGAAATACTGTATGCTCTTTCATTGTTTGTTTCAGCTGTGGGCGACTCAGTGTCAGAAGATGAAGTGGTGTGTGAAATTGAGACGGACAAGGTATGAACAAGAAAGACCATCAGCCCTAAAATCATCTCTGATTTTTTTATATATGATGTTAATATGTCAGATTAAATGTGGCCAAAGTTTCAAATAATGAGGTGCTACATGTAGCTACATGCTAATATCTAGGAAACATGTAATCTTGGTTACTGATGTCGTTAATGTCTTCTTAACTTCAGATCATATTTCTGCTGGAACATGTCTGGTTGTGTCTAGAAGATTTTACTGGTAATTTTTAGGGAAAAAGTGCCACTGTTCTCTGTTACA